GACCTGCTTGATTTCAATCTCTTCTCTCCTCTTTTTCTGCTTCTATCTCTGCTGCCAAAAGCTCTTTCTACCAATCCAGAATCGAATCTTCAATTTCTAACCCCAAAAAACTCTTTTCGATCTTCTCCAACCTCCTCCCCCCTCCACCCTTCTTCCGGCTGACTTTGTCAACTACTTTACCAAGAAAATAGCTGACATACGCTCCTCTTTCTCAATCCCACCTCCTACTTCTTGCATCCAACTGGCTTCACCTCTATCGCCCTCACTTTCCTCTTTCACCCCCCTGTCTCCTAACCAAATTCTTACCCTAGTAACCTCTGCCCGTCTGACCACCTGCCCTCATGACCCCATTCCATCACATCTTCAATCTATCGCACCTGACCTTCTTCCTTTCCTCACCTGTCTCATCAACAATGCTCTGTTATCTGGCTGTTTTCCCAATTCTCTGAAGGAGGCAAGAGTCAACCCTCTCCTGAAGAAACCTACCCTCAACCCTTCTGAAGAAAACAACTACAGACCAGTCTCTCTTCTTCCCTTTCTGTCCAAAACCCTTGAACGTGCAATCTTTAACCAACTCTCCTCCTATCTCCACCATAACAACCTCCTTGACCCCCACCAGTCAGGCTTCAAGGCAGGCCATTCCACAGAGACTGCTCTCCTTGCTGTCTCAGAGCAACTCCACACTGCTAGAGCCGCCTCTCTCTCCTCTGTCCTCATCCTTCTGGACCTCTCTGCTGCATTCGACACAGTCAACCACCAGATCCTTATTTCCTCCCTTCAGGAACTTGGTGTCTCAGGCTCTGCTCTCTCCCTTCTCTTGTCCTACCTCGACGGCCGCACCTACCGGGTAACCTGGCGAGGATCTGTGTCGGACCTTGTCCTCTTACTACGGGAGTTCCTCAGGGTTCCGTCCTGGGCCCCCTTCTCTTCTCGTTCTACTAATTAACTAAATAATTCTCTCCTTCCCTCCCTCGGACACCCAGGTGGCGGCACGGATCTCTGCCTGTCTGACTGACATCTCTCAGTGGATGTCCGCCCACCACCTGAAAATCAACCCCGACAAGACTGAACTACTTCTCTTTCCAGGAAAAGACTCTCCGACCCAGGACCTGACTGTCAACTTCGGCAACTCTGTGTTAACGCCCACTTTAACCGCTAGGAACCTCGGCGTCACAATCGACAGCCAACTCTCCCTGACTCCCAACATTACTGTAACAACACGATCCTGTAGATACACTCTCTACAACATCTGCCCAGGTACTGATTCAGGCTCTTGTCATCTCGCGCCTGGACTACTGCAACTCGCTCCTGGCAGGTCTCCCTGCTACCGCCATTTGACCTCTGCAGCTCATCCAGAATGCAACAGCTCGACTGGTCTTTAATCTTCCGAAATTCTCCCACACTACTCCACTCCTCCGCTCTCTTCACTGGCTACTGGTGGCTGCCCGCATCCAGTTCAAAACATTGGTGCTCACGTACCATGCTGTGAATAGATCGGGTCCAGCTTACATCCAGGACATGGTCAAACCCTACATCCCGACCCGCACTCTCCGCTCTGCATCTGCAAAACTGCTCGTCCCTCCCTCACTGAGAGCAAAACACTCGACCAGATCACGACTCTTTGCTGTCCTTGCTCCGAAATGGTTGGAACGAGCGCTCTGAAGACACCAGGACCGCAAAGAGCCTTCACATCTTCCGCCGCAAACTAAAGACACACCTCTTCAGACTCTACCTCGACTAAAGACTAACAAATTGTAGCACTTAAATTGTACTTATAACGGTTCTTATCTATAGCAAATTGTAAATTGGCTTATTTGAGGAAATTGCACTTTCTTGTTTCTTGTTCTTCTGAGTTTCTACCCTTATGGTGGAATGCACTTATTGTAAGTCGCTTTGGATAAAAGCGTCAGCTAAATGACAAAAGGAGTCCCATCTGCTCCTCAGCGTCACCCAGCCTCATGACGTGTGCAGACCGGCTGCTGGTCTGAGCCTTGAAGGAGAACAGCAGAATGAACTTTGTTGAACTCCAACAGGCGTTTGAAGTTGAGGAACATTCCCTGAGCGGTTTCAGGCCTCAGATATCTGCAAAGTTACACCATTACAAGTAAACAAATTTAGCTCAGACAAAACGTGTTGTATTCTGTATAATAAAGTCAGCAAATATCAACCGTTCAATCCATTAAGAAGAGTTAAGCATTATTCATGGTCTACAGTCCTAAATATATTCTAATTATTACATATTTGGCACTAAAAGTCTGAACCCAGAGGACTGATGCCTCTTGACCCTTTGGACTCCCTGGTTTCTCATTTGTGCACACAACTGCATTATGCTAGACTGATGTCCACCTTAAAGACTTGGTTAGACTAATATCATACTTAAATACACTGTAGTTTGTTTGTATTTTTGACTTGAACAATAAAACTAGATTTTAAAATTTGGCACATTTACAATGCAAAAAACACTGGCTTTTACATCAAATATTTATAAACCTTTTGAGTTATTGACCTATTTGGCCAAAAGAGAGAGTAAACTGTTAAGTGAGCGGTTTGTGCAATTTTAAATATCAACACAGGTACATAGAACATTATTAGATATTTTTTTTCAGAGTTTAATAAATCCATTTTGCACTGTAAATAGTTTGCATAGCTGTTCATCCACACCAGTTTAGTCGGCTGGTGTTGTTGCTATGGTGACAGCAAACGCACCGCCTGCTTAGGTTGCTTAAATGTAGTGAACCTAATCTTGAAATCACCATGTTTTACAAGGAGCCTAATGTATTGTCGCACATTGTGAAATCATGAAAAATAAACAGCACCTGAGCTTCCAACAGGAAGTGCCTCAGCAAGCTGCCGCTGCCAACATTTGCTTGCCCTTTATCCCTTTTTAAATACAAAAGCAGAACGCTTTCCACAGAAGAGGAGAAACACCCAAAATGACTGTAAAGGCCTTATCATGATATGAGGAATTCTGTGGAACTAATACTGGACTTATGTGTTGACACACACACACCACCAACAGTTACTGATTGCCTGCTGGGGAAAACAGATTTTACAGATTGGCATCACAATTTAAAAGGTCTTATTGATGCATTCTTAGGTAGACAAATTATTATTTATTTGTTGACAATCAATCCTCCACTGAGCTTTCAGAAAGTTGGCGATTAAAAGCATTGATTTACTTTCAAACTATATAGTTATATTTCTTCCACAGAAGTCACCTGATCCTGATAAGACCGTTACAGTCTTCAAGGTGTGTCTCAGAACTACCTGCCTTCTGTTCAAGAAAAAGAGGGAAAGGAGAATGATAGATTTTTATTTGGGGTAAAAACTTTCACCTGAATATCTACTTTATGAATTAAAAATATGTTTAACCTGAAATTTACAGGAATTGTGTTTAAAAAAACAATAACGATTCCGGTTAGTTAACATCACAATTAACCACTTGTTTTTGGAGTGGTTCATAAAATTGAGCAACTCTAACCCCACATGTAGCTCCACCTTAACAGTCACGTACTAGATCCACCTTTCTCTCTCCATCCAGTACGGTTAAGAAGTATAAATACATCTGATAAACAGCCGACAATGAACACTTATCAAACATACGAGCAGACAGGTGACTTCTCTTTTAACTTCAACAGACCTTGTGACAATGGCTAAGATTTGTGGAGGATGGAGTGAGCCACAGGAGGCCACTGAGGAAACTCAGAAGATTTGTGATCAGGTGAGTTTCAATCTACCTTTATTCTTCACGTAATCTCTCAATCCTGGTTTATACTTCAGTGTGGATTTACATCACATTTGAACTAATTCATACACAGGTGAAGGACCAAGTGGAGAAAATCACAGACCAGAAGCATCAGGTATACAAAGCAGTTCTATACAGGGAACAGGTTGTGGCTGGACAGAACTTCCTCATCAAGGTAAGTAATGAAGTGATATTTAATTACAAAAAATTACAGCCTCAGATGTGTGTCTTTGTGTGCCACACAGGTTGAATTAACACGATTTGTAACATCCAGTTGAATCTTACTGTCAAACTCATGTCAGGGCAGTGAACACCAGTTAAACCATGAACACCTCTGATGGTGGAAGGTCCTCAGGGTTCAGCAACACAAGACTGAAAATATTATTTTAGAGGTCAAAAGTTCCTCCTTTTATTCCTGCAGGTTTTTGCTGGAGAAGACGACTACCTCCACCTGTTTGTCTTTAGAGCACTTCCGTGTGATGGAGGCAGGATTGAGCTTAACGGTGTGGAGCAGCACAGAACCAAAGGAGACCCCCTCGAACCTTTTATGAACTGATTAAACAACCTGTTTCAACAGTTGAGAAGAGGCTGCGGCCTCATATTAAAAAGTGTTCTACTTCTTAGACCTGGAAGGATTTTACATTGAATTTAAATGGAACAACACATTGAAAATATTTTGTTTGGGAAGCACCATGTTGAATGTACAACCTTCTACTGAAATAATAAAATAAAAAGCATCAAAAACATACAATTAGTCTGTTTCTTATTCACGTCATTTGTGTGAAATCTAAAGTATGTGTTTTCTTGGCTGGAAATATACTGACAAATGCATTAAAGACAAAAATAATTCCACACCCAGACTCTAACACAGACAAAGACATTTAACCTTGAATAATTAGTTTCTTTTACTAATGAAAATGAACAAACAAGCTGCTTCAACAGTGAAATACTTCTTACACTCATAAACTAATTATCGTAATTAGTTGTTGCAATACGTCTGCTTTCCACTAAAAATCCTTTCAGAACACGATTATAAACTTGATATGGCCTCTAAATTTATGCTCAACGTTGAGCTTGAATTTGTATTTCGTTATTGACCCATGTGGCCACAAGAGGGAGTAAACCTTTAGGTGAGCACTTCTATTGTGACTAAACAAGTTCAGGGCAAATATATAAATCTTTGTCCACTTTTAATATCAACACAGGTACATACATATCTTTTTTTGATTATTTTTTTAAGTATATATATTTTTAACTTTCATAAATCCATTGTGATTTGTTTGCATAGCTGTTCATCCACACCAGTTAAATCTGCTGGTGTTGTTACTATGATGACACCAAAAGCACCGCCTGCTTAGGTTGCTTAAATGTAGTGAACCTAATCTTGAAATCACCATGTTTTACAACTACCACCAGTTGTACCCTCAAGGAGCCTAATGTATTGTCGCACATTGTGAAGTCATGAAAAATAAACAGCACCTGAGCTTCCAACAGGAAGTGCCTCAGCAAGCTGCCGCTGCCAACATTTGCTTGCCCTTTATCCCTTTTTAAATACAAAAGCAGAACGCTTTCCACAGAAGAGGAGAAACACCCAAAATGACTGTAAAGGCCTTATCATGATATGAGGAATTCTGTGGAACAAATACTGCACTTATGTGTTGACACACACACACCACCAACAGTTACTGATTACCTGCTGGGGAAAACAGATTTTACAGATTGGCATCACAATTTAAAAGGTCTTATTGATGCATTCTTAGGTAGACAAATTATTATTTATTTGTTGACAATCAATCCTCCACTGAGCTTTCAGAAAGTTGGCGATTAAAAGCATTGATTTTTTTTCAAACTATATAGTTATATTTCTTCCACAGAAGTCACCTGATCCTGATAAGACCGTTATATTTCAGTGTGGATTTACATCACATTTGAACTAATTCATACACAGGTGAAGGACCAAGTGGAGACAATCACAGACCAGAAGCATCAGGTATACAAAGCAGTTCTATACAGGGAACAGATTGTGGCTGGACAGAACTTTCTCATTAAGGTAAGTAATAATGTTGAATGTACAACCTTCTACTGAAATAATAAAACAAAAAGCATAAAAAACAAACAGGTCTTTTGTTTCTGATTCGCAGCATTTGTTTGAAATCTAAAATATGTGTTTTCTTGGCTGGAAATATACTACCGAATGCCTTAAAAGACAAAAGTAAATCTGCACCCTGACTTTAACAAAGACAAAGACTTTTAACTTTGAATAATGTGAGTTCCCTTTTATCTCTTACTAATCAAAATGACCAATCAAACCATTTTAATAGTGAAATACTTACAGGAATCAGTTTTATTTTACAATACTGTGTTTTGTCATCTGAAATGACCTTCAGCTGCACTGGTTCCTTTTTATGAAAAGCAGAACGAGGAAACACACCCAAATGACTGTAAAGACCTTATGATGATATGTGAACTAATGGATTTACTGTTGAGGCACACACACACACACACACACACACACAATCCTCGCCTGATCTTTCAGAAAGTCGTTGACTAAAAGCATCGCTGTACTAAAAATTACTACATATGTATGTTGCACAAAAAACAATGAAGTGTTGACTCCAAAATGAATACATTGTATTCCTGAATTTTGACTTCTGAACTTGAAAATGCTGATTATTGTTTGGATCCCACGAGTCGGAAAAATTGCGTATGTGTGTTGTGTGCGTGTTTGCTTGGCCTATATCAAAATGTTTAAGTATTTGTTCCACAGAAGTTCCCGGATAAGGTCTTCACAGTCTCACAGGTGTGTGGTTCTCAAACGCTTTCTGTTAAGACCCACTTTGGAAGACTTGTTCATGTCCCACAACAAAAGTTAAAAACGCAAATTCTATTAAAAAACATTTTGTGGAATCCTCATCTATGCCTTTTCAAATATTACAATAGAAAAACTTCTTTCAAATAAACCAGATTGTCCCATCAGCCAAAATTGTTAGAATTTCAAAGTTCTATCTTTTCAAAAAAATATTAAATATTTGACAAATCATTGTGGCTGTAATTAACCTGTTTTGCACTGGACATGCAAAAAAAACCCAAATTTGAGCAGATATGTATGGGCCATGTCATACTGAAAAAAATGTTTTAAGATTAGTGGCTGCAATGAGTCTGCTTTCCACTACAAATCCTTTCAGAACAGCATTATAAACTTGATACGCCTCTTAATTCATGCTCAATGTTGAGCTTGTATCTGTATTTTGCTTTGAAAGAGGCAACGGCAGTCCATGTACTTTGTACTGTAGTAAGATGGGAAGATCTCAATAAAGTTTTTTAACTAAAATAATTTGGAATTTACCTATTTACCCCACCTGTAATACGACTGCGACCCACTGGAGGGGCGCACCGGATTTAGTAATAATAGCTCTTCTAAATATATTGCAATAAATACAATTTGTTTTTTCCCAGTGAAGTTTGGCATTTTTTATGCACAAGTTGACATCTATAAAAGAAGATTTTAGTGATAAAAATTGAGGACATGAGACCAAGGAGACAAAGTGTCTTTATGAGCTGCAGTTGCTCATATTTAACTTTTCTGGTCTCATTATTCCTCTGTTCTTTACAGAAGTGTTAATGTGTTGGGCCTGTTACGTTAAAGAGGAACAGCACACTAAAACAGTATTTTGAGCAGTTTACTGAATGTTATAACTGTTTTCTGTTTAACTTTATATTAAATCATGATGATCATCGTTAATGCCCTCTAGCCACAGGTCATAGCGTTAGCAGCTGACAATTACGTCTCACAGTCAATATAATCAGGATCACCAGGGACAGATTGTTGGTGTTGGCAGGAACAAACAGTTTGACGTGCAAAGCTAATTGATAATGTATGATAACCAGTGGTAAAAAATGTTAGAATTTTTTTCAATTTTAAATAGGAAAATGTATTTTAAGACAGGGAACGTGAAGGTCTTTAACTTGTGAAAACCATAAATTTGTCAAAAATCAGTCCGAGCTCGACAGAGAGGTTCTTGATGGAGATGTAGACGATGCTTACTGCTTTGTTTTCACCTCCACCAAACGGGGCGACACTTACCTTGATGAGATGGCCACATATTTGGGCACTCCTATAAAGGGGAGCACCACTGAAGACGAGTGGTTCTACTCAGAGGAAGTCTGGACCTCTCTGAGACAAAAAGCCAAAGCTTTCCAAGACTTCAATAAAGCAGAGAAGGACAACAACCGGATCCGTTTCTTTATCGCAGTCATTCCAAATGAGAAATACAAAGGAGCAACTATCTACCATTACAAGCAGGGCATTCTGGTCAGCAAAGATTTCACAATACCTGACTCTGATCCTGAGAATATCACAGACAGAAGAGATCTGATCTTGTGTAAGTTTATTTATTTAGATTTTTTGGTCAAACATACTGTTCTGATAAATGTTCTGCAAAAACTATAAACCTGATTTTGTTTGGTTCTCTCCATCAGATGCCTGTGACCTCACCCTGGACCCAAACACTGCCAACGGTCACATCGTTCTGTCTGATGGAAACAAAAAGGCAACAAACGGATCAACTTGGCATCAATATCCTGCTAACCCAGAGAGGTTTGATTCATACAATCAGGTGTTGTGCCGAGAGGGTTTATCTGGGCGCCATTACTGGGAGGTAGATTTGGATAATGCATCTAGTTCAATATATATTCGTGTAGCTGTTGCATACAAGACCATGAAAACCAAGGGAACGATTTACGAAAGCAAATTTCGAAATAATACCCAATCTTGGGCTTTAAGAAAGTTGAAAACAAATGAAAGCCGCTCACTCACTGCACTGCACAATGCAAACGACGAGTGGGAATTTAAACCTGGTGGCTGCTCAACACTCGGTGTGTATCTGAACTGGCGTGCAGGCACTTTGTCCTTCTACAAAGTCTCCTCCAACACACTGACACACCTCTACACCTTTCACAGCACCTTCACTGAGCCCGTGTACCCAGGCTTCTGGGTTTACGAGCAGGGATACGTCTATCTGCGTCCTCTTTAATAGGACCAATGCTGGTGACTTGTTGGATCCTTGGTCTGTTAATAGAGGGACGGGGTTACAAGTGTAGTTTCAATGGTAAAATGGCATCACATGTTAGCTTTAACTTGAGTGTTAAATATATTATTTACAAAAAATTAAATTTTACTTGCTTGTTCAGTTGATACACAGTGTAAACATTTGACTCTCTTTGTGAATCACATTTTAATTTCTATTCTTATCCTTTATAGAGTTTGAGACTAATGTCAAAAGCTATTGTTAAAACTTGCATAACTATTTAGTAATTTTGTAAATGGTTAAGTGGGCTTTTTACCAATTCTGTACCTTAAATCTGACCAACTTTAATAAAGTACTCTCCCACAACGTGTATACTTATTGTTGAATAAAATATTGTCTTCTTTAGATGAATTGCATTCCTTTCATATTATCTTTGTACGTCTGTGTCTAACAGTAACTCCTGTGCAGACAGAAGGTATTTTACATCAACTAACATACCTTTTGGGGCCATGTGAAGAGAGCACAGACCTGTCTTTAAAGATCCAGATTTCAGAGCATTGTAGCCTTTGGCGACCTCTGCTGGTAGTATCAGACAAAGCAAGGACACAATGCATACTGACATTAATGATGTCATCCAAAATGATTGATTGTCGTTTAAGTAAGAAACAGAAACAGAAAAATATATATAATTAGATTGTATGGTTATACTGCTTGGACTGGGAGAATAGAAGGATATGGGTTCTTTCAGCGCCTTTTCAGTAGTGAACAACAGTAACCGGATCACATAATCAGGCTTACAGCCTACTACGTACTGTTGATATAGACAGAAAAAAGTATGATACATAGCGTGTATGAGCAATTTTGTTATTATTTTGTTTAACCTTCCACCACTTGGGGGCGTAAAGCTGCTGACAATTAGTCAATATAATCAGGATCACCAGGGACAGATTGTTGGTGTTGGCAGGAACAAACAGTTTGACGTGCAAAGCTAATTGATAATGTATGATAACCAGTGGTAACAAATGTTAGAATTTTTTTCAATTTTAAATAGGAAAATGTATTTTAAGACAGGGAACGTGAAGGTCTTTTACTTGTGAAAACCATAAATTACCATCAGCAGAAAATTGGACTGGCCTCCACACAGTAACGCCGTCCTGTCCCTCCGTGTCGGTGATTGGTGGAGCCAGAGCACCGTCTTCATTTAATTGGACAGTTTTCTAAAGTTTTGTTTGTTCATTCACTTCATTGGGATTGAACTCCTTGTTTGTATTAAACCAGCTGTGTGAGCGTATCCACATAACAGGTTGATTTCACGCGTCAAAACAAGCAAGCACCAACCGGAGTCACTTGTTAGTCACACCTCTTCAATTGCTTGTTAACACAAATGGCAAATCACCCAATTACTTGGTCTCAAATGAATGCATTTAGGCAGCAAAATGAGGTCAAGACAACTTGCTGATGTTCAAACAGAGCATCAGAATTTGGGAAAAAGGAGTTTAAATGACAACATTTCATGGTTGTTGTTGCTGTTTTATGGTCTGAGTCTTAATAATGTATAATGTAAAATAATGGATCCATCCTGCCTTGTATTGGTGTGGGGGATATTTTCTTGACACACTTTGGGCCCCTTAGTACCAAACGAGCCTTGTTACTTCCAGCAGGATAATGCACCATGTCACAAAGCTCATGTCGTCAAACTGGTTTCTTGAACATGACAATGAGTTCACGGTACTCCAATGGCCTCCACAGTCACCACAACTCAATCCAATAGCGCACCTTTAGGATGTGGTGGAACGGGAGATTCACATCACATCACAGCTGACAAACCTGCAGCCACTGTGTGATGCTATCAAGTATGGACCAAAATCTCTGAGGAATGTTTTTTAAAACACCTTGTTGAAAGTATCCAACAAAGAATTGAGGCCGCTCTGAAGGCGACATGCGGTCCAACCTTTTATTAGCAAGGTGTACTTAATAAAGTGGCCAGTGAGTGTATACATAACGTTATATATAACTTAACTCTCATAGGTTTCACATTTATCTGGTAATTCGGGTAATATTCTGGATGTAAAGGTCACTTATCTGCAATCTCTTGTTGAAAAGGCTTGAACCAGTCTGTAATTTGGGGTAAAAACATTCACCTGAAAGTCTAAAATATGGTTTACCTGAATTCTGTTTGAAAAAACATCAACAATTCCAGGTTGTTGGTTAAAAAATTACCACAATTAACCCTCACTTGTTGGTTTATGAGAATTGTTCAAATAAATAAAAAAATGCTTCCATGTTATTAAGTTACAATAATTCAATCCAGAAAGTCACAGCGTAGGTGGATATTTTAGCCAAACAATTGTCTCTATTGGTCTGTATAATAATGGTATCAATATTAAACAGATACATTTAAAATTCATCTGAATATATTTCATCTAACTCTTGACAAGAGTGAATAAACATATTTCCCTGAACGTCAAACTTTCATAAAACCCTCAGGTCACTACAGGGGGCAGTGGAAACAGAATTTGAATTACTCCTAACCTACATTTTTGTGAGTCGCCACACCTTAAATTTGGGAGTAGTTCATAAAGTTGAGCAACCCTACCCACATGTAGCTCCACCTTAACAGTCATGTAATATATCCATCTTTCACTTTCTATACAGGATGGTAAATCAACAGACCTTCTGACAATGAATGGGATGCTTGGAGGATGGAGTCAGCCAAAGGAGATTCAATCTCCCTTTATTTTTACTTTGTATGTTATACAGGTTAAATAAACCATGAACACACCTCTGATGGTGAAGATCCTCAGAGTTCAGCCCCACAAGACTGGAAATCCACATCTTGTTAAATATATCGACACATATAGACCAGGAACCACTTGTTCGTCTCATAGTAGTGATCGTATAAAGTTGAAACAAACCAGGGAATATATTGACTGAAGACATGTTTCCCTGTTTAACATCAACAGCTTCTGTTAATATTAGAATAGTTTAACAAACTCTCTGCTCCTTCGTCTCAGTGTTATGACACAATATTTAAGCAGTTAAGTGAAGTACTCTGAGATTCCATGCAACACCTTTTCGGGTGATATTTTCACACTAACATGCTCTCATTGTGCAACGAACTGGACGAACTACAGCTGCTCGTGAGGAAAAACAGTTTTCTTGTGCTTTACAGAGACATAGCTATGTGGATCAATACCGGACTCCACCCTCCTTCCACCTGCTTAGAGTGGAGCGCGACACGGAGCTCTCCGGCAAGACGAAAGGTGGAGCTTACATCAGCTGCTGTGAAGACATCTGTGTGCCATCTGTTACGTTCCCTGCTAGGGTTAGGCAACGTAACAAAAGCAAACGCCAGTGAAAATAAAGAAAGTAGCAAGACTTGTTTAAAGAGTCAAAATACAGGTTCGGCAAGGCCGTCGAAGACGCCGAGCGACTGTACTCGGAGAGGCTCTAACAGTTCTCTGCTGACGACTCTACACCGGTCTGGAAAGGCCTCAGAATGATTTCCAACTACAAGCGCAAAGCCACCTCCGTCTGGCTAACGAGATGAACGATTTCCACTGCCGCTTTGACAGACAAAGGAGCAGTCCTGAACTCATCCACAGCCTTAACACCCCCAAGTCCCAGGTTGGTGATTGACCAACTGGTGACGTGGTGCAGTCGAAACAACTTCAACGCTCTGACGACAGTGTAGATGGTTGTGGATTTCCGAAGGAACGCAGCACCACCTTCCCCCATCACCGCCGTGGAGTCCTTCCGCTTCCTGGCCTCCATCATATCCCAGGACCTCAAGTGGGAGCTGAACATCGGCTCCATCATCAAGAAGGCTCAGCAGAGGTTGTTCTTCCTGAGGCAGCTGAAGAAATTCAATCTGCTAAAGACAATGATGATCCACTTCTACACGGCCATCATCGAGTCCATCCTCTGCTCCTCCATCACCGCCTGGTACGCTGCAGCCACAGCCAAGGACAAGGGCAGGCTGCAGCGTGTCATCCGGTCTGCAGAGAGGGTGATCGGCTGCAATCTGCCGTCCCTGCAGGACTTGTTCGCTTCCACCCCGGTCACAGACTCTTTAAGCCCCTTCCCTCTGGCAGGAGGCTGCGGTCCATCAGGACCAGACCTTTCACCATAGAAACAGCTTTTACCCATCAGCAGTCCCTTGAATCAAAACCTGAAAGTATTCATCAAACCTCTCTGGGTTATCAGGATATTTCTGCCATGTTGATCCACTTGTTACCTTCTTGTTTACATCAGACAGAACAAGGACAGTGTTCGGATTCAGGGAGAGATCACAGGCATCTGATGGAGAGAAACAAACAAATTCAGGTTTCAAGTTTTTGCAGAACATTGATTACAACAGTGTATTTGACTAAAAAGCATAAACACACTTACACCAAGTCAGATATTTTCTGTCCGTGATCTTAGGATAAAGGTCAGATCCTGAGAATGACCAAAATGTAATGGTCCTTTGTATTTCTCATTTCTCATGACTGATAAGGAAACGGATCCGCTTGTTCTTCTTCTTTGCTTTGCTGAAGCCTTGGAAAGTTTGTAAGAACAACAAGCAGAACAACATAAGAATGAGAAGATTAAACTGTACAACTCCATTGCCGTGACGCAAACAAATTAATTCAAATAAGGGACAGCACGCCGCTTGAAAGCTCATCGGCTGCACTGACAAAATTAGATGCCATTTTTTGTAGCCATGTACTCATCAACAATACTTTCCTAATTTGTGAACTACAGGTCTTTTTCACCGTGTATTCATTGTATTATAGTTTCATACACCCACAATCAAATAGCTCTTCTCTCCTTTACTCAGGGGCCTAATTGCCTTTCATTGTATAATTTACAACAAAAGTTAATGAATATGCCATACATTTGGGCAAAGGTATAGGTTGCTTATTTAGTAATTGTGGAAGCCCAATGAAGTTCATTTAGTTACTATCAAACATAGCTTGAACAAAATACAGACAATTGTTTTTCTTTATAAAAGCAGTGGCATTGTCAAGTATAATAGCAGTGAAAGTATAATACAAAAACATATGACTAAATAGCTGTTTTTGGATAGAGACATTTGTGTCCTTTGAAGAGCAGAAGTTAGGCTTAAGGATTATTAAGCAATACTTACAATTTAACATGACTTGATAAAGCCTCTCAATTCACGCTCAATGTTGCAACAGCAGTACTTTGTACTTTAGTAAGATGGCATGTTCTCAATAAAGTTCTTGAAATTAAATAGTTGGGAATTTCCCCATGCACGCCAGATAATAATAGTAATATATAAAATAGAATTTCGTACCGGGCCGCACGGAAAGAATGTTTTTCATTTGAATTTTTTTTCCTTGAAAAATGTTTTATTTTGAAAAAAGACCAGATTCTCTCCCAATTACATGCAGTTTCCCTTCTTGACACATTTCAAGGCGCTGCCTCGGTCATGTGAGGATTACTGCAAAACTTTAAAAAAGAGCAAAAGATTTTTGGAGAGCTACTTTGGAAAGTAAAAACAAAAGCAGGGGACATATGAAGAGCCTACAAACGTGTTTATCTCGTTGGGTTATTCTCATGTGCTCTGCATTACATGTGTTTGTTTTCATGCCGATCATATCTTTTCATTTAGTCGTGTTCATCTGCCACATCTTGAAGACCAGTCCAAGAAATGTTGTCTAGCCAGCCTATGTGAGGCCCATGTCAACGTCGTAAGTAGCATCTGAAGGCGTGACATGTCACAGCGGAGGCTCTCCGACAGGATAAAAGGACGACATCACAGATCATCACTCTGGAAGCTCCAGCTGGACGACCAGGAGACTCTCACAAGACTCTGATCATCACAACTTCCCCAGGTGAGGACAGGAAGAGACAGGTGAACATTTACTGCTTAACTGATCTGCAGTCTGTGCAAAGACATATGTCTTTATGTTGGGTGAAGGTGTAGAGTTGACTCTGCGTTAAAAACTCACAATACTGTAATATGGAAAGCTTTTCTCATCAGGTTGGTGAAATGGCCTCAAATCAAATGGAAGTTCCTGCCCTGGGTCGACCTTTCACCCTCGGAATGCTCTATGATGCTCAAAGAGATGATCTGATCAAAGGTAAGTCTTGGATTACACTGTTATTAAAATTATTTATCTGTAAAAGTGTCTTTTACAGCTTTGCTGAAAGCAGGTGTTACCAAACTGGGGGTCGTGGTGGGAAGTGGTGGGCTTCATTGGCAACCTCGACACACAGCCATGACAGTGCGATTGTTCTTAAAAAACAAGAAAAAACAAAAGGAAAACAGAAATGAGGACTTGATATAGCATATATATGTGTTTGAACCACGCCCCCCAGAACGGCTCAGGTTACAACTGAAAGAGAAAGAGATAGTGGGACAGAGAGAGATGCAATTAATTCAAAACAAAGAAGGAACAAACATATTTTTTTGTTTTTTTTTGGGTAGTGAGGGAGGTGGAGCGGGGGGAGGGGAAGTGGGGATGGGGGGCGAGGGGAAGTGGGGACGATTGAGGGGTTGTACAAAGTCCATATATCCTTAAGGGGACCCTGATAGAAAACGTCTGGAAAACCACTATAAGGGACTTTAAAATGATTTGAGTTCCACGACGGAGCTGCAAACATCCATTAGTTTTTAGAGAAGCATGCTGTACTATTAGCTGATTATTCTGTGATTAATTAGACAATTTCATTTTTTTGGTCAAAGGTGTCTGTTGCTCTTTTGGAATTAAACAGCTAGTTAGCTGGCTTTGTAAAATGGGCCATTAAATTAGCTATTCTTGTTTTTGTTTTTAAGATCAATTGAATCCATCAATTGAATTGAATTTATTTTCACAAAATGATCCTGCAACTTTTTTTGTTTTCTAAATTTTAAAGGTTTGACGTTGTGGGATGATAAAATACTACAAGGGAAGACGATTAAAAGTTCTAAACCAAGCAATAAATTTGTCATTACTGGATCTGACTCCATTGAATTCAAGTCCTCTCTCCTGGAGGTTGATGCTTCTCTGAAGGCCAGCTTCCTCTCCGGACTGATTGAAGTGGAAGGATCTGCTCATTACCTGAAAGATCAGAAAGAATTCAAGAATCAGAGCAGAGTGACTGGTCAGTACAAATCTACAACCCGCTTGGAACAGTTGTCAATAACTGACCTGATAAACTTAGAAGACCATCAAAAGGACGTTATCATCAAGAGCTCTGCAACACACATAGTCACAGGCATCCTTTATGGGGCCAATGCTTTCTTTGTGTTTGACAGTGAAAAGTTAGACAGCAGCAGCGTTGGAGACATCCAGGGCAGCATGGAAGCTGTGATAAAAAAGATCCCCTCACTCAGTGGTGAGGGCCCTCTTGACATCAAGCTGACTCAGGAAGAAAAAGCCCTGAGTGCTTCAGTGTCCTGCAAATTCTTTGGAGATTTCACCCTTCAAAGCATTCCTTTCACATATGAAGAAGCAGTGAAGACCTTTGGACAACTTCCACAGTTACTGGGGGAAAATGGAGAGAAAGCTGTCCCAGTGAAGGTCTGGCTGATGCCACTGACTAAATTACATAGAGAAGCTCCTGAGCTGAAGAGTGAGATCAGCGTTGGACTGGTGGGGAAGATGCAGGACACTCTTGAAGATTTGGTGGAAATCCAAATGAGAAGCAACGAATCTCAGCAAGACAAAGTGGTACAAAACTTTCCACATTTTAAAGAAGAGTTAATGACTTTCAAGAAATTTTGTGACCGCTATAGATCAAACCTCCAGAGGACCATGAAGGAGAAACTCCCCTCCATCCGTGAAGGTATAGAAGATGAGAGCTCATTGGAAAAAACCATTGATAACAGAAACGAGTCCCCATTCAGTCAAGAAAAATTACTCAAGTGGCTGAATTATAAGGAGAGAGAAATCAACATCATCAGATCCTGTGTGGAGACCATGGAGGGAACAAAGATCGTCAAAAATCAGTCCGAGCTCGACAGAGAGGTACTTGCTGGAGATGTAGACAATACTTTGTGCTTTGTTTTCACCTCCACAAAACGAGGCAACACTAATCTTGATATGATGGCCACATATTTGGACACTCCTATAAAGGGGAGCACCACTGAAGACGAGTGGTTCTACTCAGAGGAAGTCTGGACCTCTATGAGAAAAAAAGCCAAAACCTTCCAAGACTTTAGCAAAGAAGAAAAGAAGAACAACCGGATCCGTTTCCTTATTGCAGTCATTCCAAATGAGAAATACAAAGGAGCAACAATCTACCATTACAAGAAGGGCATTCTGGTCAACGAAGATTTCTCAGGACTTGGCCTTTATCCTGAGAAGATCACGGACAGAAGAGATCTGATTTTGTGTAAGTCTATTTTTAAATCTAATCAATGTTCTGCTGAAACTATAAATCTGAATTTGTTTGGTTCTCTCCATCAGATGCCTGTGATCTCACCCTGGACCTAAACACTGTCCACAATTACCTTGTTCTGTCTGATGGAAACAAGAAGGTAACAAGTGGATCAACATGGCAGAAATATCCTGATAACCCAGAGAGGTTTGATAAATACACTCAGGTGTTGTGCCGAGAGGGTTTATCTGGGCGCCATTACTGGGAGGTAGAGTGGGATAATGCTTCTGTTTCAAGACGTATTTATGTAGCTGCTGCATACAAGACAATCAAAAGAAAGGGAAATGGTTACTGTTGCGAATTTGGAAATAATAAAGAATCGTGGGCTTTTGGCCAGTGGGCTACAAATATAAAACATGCACTTCGTGCATGGCACAATGGAAAGGTGTGGGAATCTTATTTTCCCTCTGGTGGCTGCTCAACACTCGGTGTGTATCTGGACTGGCCTGCAGGTCATCTGTCCTTCTACAAAGTCTCCTCCAACACACTGACACACCTCTACACCTTTTACTCCACCTTCACTGAGCCCGTGTACCCAGGCTTCTGGGTTTACAATACGGGCAACTACGCCTACCTGCGCCCTTTTTAATTGGACCAATGCTGGTGACTTGTTGTTGACTTCCAAAATGTCCCTCTTGCGGGATCAATAAAGTATCCATCCATCCATCCATCCATCCATCCATCCATCCATCCATCCATCCATCCATCCATCCATCCATCCATCCATCCATCCATCCATCCATCCATCCATCCATCCATCTATCTATCTATCTATCTATCTATCTATCTATCTATCTATCTATCTATCTATCTATCTATCCTTGGTCTGTTGATAGAGGGATTGGGTAAGTTGATCAAATAGAACATTTTCTGTTTCCTACTTACTAACAGAAACTAACACACCTTTAGGGGCCGTGCTAAGAGAGCCCAGACCTGTTAAGAGGTCCCAGCTCAATGAATCCATCCCGTTGTGCTTTCTAAAACACACTTCATTGAGTGCATATAAATCACCTAGGCCTATACAGACACGATTTGTGTTCTAAAACCCATCTCACAACATGATCTGAAATACACACCCTGAGTGATAATGGTTTCAGGGTCCCTTGTCCTTCCTGAGAAGTTCAGCACAAACCACACAATTTCCTTAACTATTATTTACCGTTCTTTATTACACCAGCAGTGAGTGAGTGAGTACAATGTATTTATTACAATTGGATTACATTCAGAACTCATTCACTACTTATGACCTCCAGTTTGTATGTATTCAATAGAAAAACCCTTTATTTTTCGAAAAGTAAATGAACATTTGATTCTCAAATATAACGTAAATAATGTCAACTGCAAAAAAGGTTAGCCTTTTTTGTTAGCAATGACCGCAAACGCACCTGCAGACTCTGTAAAGGCCGTTCAACCAAGAAGAGAGTGACCGAGTGCTGCGTCAGAAGACCTGTCCTCCACAATCCCCACCTAAGCCCATTGCGGTGGTCTGGGATGAGTTGGACTGCAAAGTGAAGACAAAGCAGTCAACAAGTGCTCAGCACCTCTGGGAACTCCTTAAAAAGGCTGTTGTAAAACTATTCCTCATGAAACTGCTTGAAAGAATGCAAGAGCGTGCAAAGCTGTCATCAAAGCAAAAGATTTAAGAATTTAAAATATAAAACCTATTCTAGTCTGTTGAAATTTGTTTTGTTTACCAAACAATTGTAAATGTGTTCTTTTATAGTTTGGATGGCTTTAAAAATAAAAATAAACAGAATAAACTGTATCAACCCTTTAGTTTCCTGTTACTTAATTTATACTTTCCAGTTGTCCATCCTGTTGTCAATACTCTTTATATTACATTTACATTACTCTTTATGCTACTTATAGTACTACTACTTAATTACTTCCTTATAATAGTTTACATTTCTTGACGAATACTTTCTGCAGCAAATGAAAGACAAAAAAATTGGAAATAAAAACATGTAAATTAAAAATAACGATGGTATTTAAGTCAATAGAATACAAACAATAGTCAGAATTATTAGATTGCAAATCAGAATTTTGTGTGTGATAAACAAACAGAAATATAATCCTCGTTCATACTATTTCTGATGAATGTGCTGATGCGTCGTCCAGCCCTCGTGCCGCCTGTAGCGAAAGAGCACGACCGGAACAGAAGCTGCCTTTACTCGTGTCCCAGATATTTCATCATTCTCTTCTCGCATTACGGCGGTCCATGCTTCGTAGCGCAGCATCAGCACTGCTGAGGAGGACCAGCACTGACATCCCCGCCCTCCGCCCGGTAACAACGGTCCGGATCGCTCGGCAGTCGCTCCGCTACGAACCCCAAAAACGGCCGTTTTCCACGTCGGTCCGCTTGAGTAAGAGGAAGAAGCAAAGCCTGTGGCTGCAGCCGGCGGGAGGACAAACCATGGACGGCAACATCGAAGCGGTTCTCGCCCCTTTGAGGCTCGCGGTCAAAGAACAGGTGACGCTTGTTGTCTCATAAATCTCCACCCGAATGAACCAAGTGTGTTTGTCGGGTGTAATATATGCTTCAGTTCCTCTGGCTGGTTCGCATTCGGCACGTTAGCTTGCCAGGCTAACCGGCTAACCTAGCCGGTTTCTCGCGAAGCTGTCAATGGGAGAAGAGTTATTGCCTGCTAGCTAGCTAGCGGCTAACTAGCACTGTGTGCTGTGTCTCCACCCGATGCCACGTCTCAGGGTTCCGCGGTCGCTGCAGACATTTGTGAGCTGGGTGGGACCAAGAGAAATTGCCAAATAAATGCTGCTGCCTTTAACAAAAAGGCCCAAAATGGCCGATTGCTCTGTAAACCTTGTCGGACACAAGTTGACATGCAGGCTCTCGGTTGTTCTTCATGCCAAATCTCAAGCCTCCCTTCTGTGCTTCAGGGGGACCTGGTGCGCCAATTGAAACAGGATGGAGCTCCAGATGTGGATGTTGCTAGAGCTGTGGCTGAACTGAAAGCAAGGAAGAGAACCCTGGAGGCCAAGGTGAGTGGCTTCTAATGCAATTCCTCATTTAGTTAAAAGCAAAACACTAGAATAAACACTATTCTAAGCCCCTAAAGTTTACTTAATCTCACGGTCTCGTAACACGTTGCCATCGCTAGAAACCCATGTTTCTTCCGTTCTTTCTTATTCTTTTTTGGAAGACATCAAATTTGTGGATTTAATGGTGAAATGTGTTCCACGGTGCTAATTTTCCATTGCAGGAGCTGTCGTTACAACCCAAAGATGACATCGTAGACCGATCAAAGATGGAGGACACCCTCAAGAGACGCTTCTTTTACGACCAGGCCTTTGCCATCTACGGAGGTGAGCCTTTGAAAGCTACAGGTTTCGGGACGATGCTCACGTCGTCTTTAAGCAACCCGTTACCATGCAGTAATGCTCCTCAGGTGTGAGCGGCCTGTACGACTTCGGCCCCGTGGGCTGTGCCCTGAAGAACAACATCCTGCAGGCCTGGAGGCATCACTTCATCCAGGAGGAGCAGATTCTGGAAATAGACTGCACCATGCTGACCCCGGAGTCCGTCCTCAAGTATGTGTCCCTAAAGCGGGTTGTGTGTGTGTGTGTGTGTGTGTGTGTGTGCGTGTGCGTGTGCGCGCAAAAATGTGTAATTGTTTGGTTTTAGCACCATCATTAATAAATAGTTTCATGGATTCAGCTGCAGACTGCTAAACATTTAAAAAATATATATTTATTAGTTTCATTTGCTCACTTAATTTAGGACATCAGGACATGTGGACAAATTTGCTGACTACATGGTGAAAGACGTTAAGAACGGCGAATGCTTCAGGGCAGACCACCTCCTCAAAGGTAGGCCTTTTGCACTTCCTTCCACTGCAGTGTAAACTAAAAACGAGTCCTCCTGAAAACCAAAAAGGCGCTCGTAAGCTGTTCATGTGTATTATTCATGAGGCTGCAGACGGATGCCGTCCGAACTTGTGTTGTCAGTAGCTTCTGCTGGCTGACCGAGCTGCCGAGTATCCGTGTTGAGGGAGACTGAGGGGACGAGGGGGGGTGAAGCAGCAGAAATCACACAGGACTTTCATAGCAGTGAAAGAAAATGATATAAGAAAATGATATAAGGGAGAACATGGTCGTACCTCCTAGGTTTGAAGGCTAATTGTCTCATACGAAAAAGAAAATTGGAAATTGTTACGAGATGAAAAATGTTCTTATCCGAGATATGTCATGAGAGATTTTGACATTTCAAACGTTCTCTTGTTTATGTTGTTTATGTGATCCTGATTGGTTTTGAGCTCATTTTCAGTGTAGTAGTAATAATTGATGAAACTCAAGGTTCCCTTTTCAAAAATCTGTTTGGTGGAGGCTTTGTTTTGACGTGTCCGTGTCCCACAGCCCACCTCCAGAAGCTGATGTCTGATAAGAAGTGCACAGCAGAAAAGAAGGCTGAGATGGAGCAGGTCACAACTCAGGTCAGTCTTAGCGGAGACTCAACGGGCTCCTTTTGAGGGGATTATTTTGGGAAAAGCTTTTTTCCGACCAATGTTTTAAACGTTTCACGATGTCTTGTTTAATGTTTTCAGATGGACAACTACACTCAGCAGGAGCTGACCGATCTCTTTGTGAAATACAACGTCAAGTCTCCCACCACAGGAAACGACCTCACGGCCCCCATCTCCTTCAACCTGATGTTTCAGACGTCCATCGGACCGGGGGGGAACATGCCGGGGTAAAAAAAAAGAAACAAAATACCACGGCAAATATTGTCTTGATGTTATTTGCTACGTGATTGATTTTTCAATGTAACTTTGCAGCTATCTGAGGCCTGAAACCGCTCAGGGAATCTTCCTCAACTTCAAACGCCTGTTAGAGTTCAACCAGGGAAAACTGCCCTTCGCTGCTGCTCAGATAGGAAACTCCTTCAGGAACGAGATCTCTCCTCGCTCTGGGCTCATTCGTGTCAGGTGAGAGATCCAGCGTGTCGCCCCGTTTAGTCTCCGTACCCGTGCAGGTGACTCGTATTGAGATCGCATCACTTCTTCCTCGTAGAGAGTTCACCATGGCGGAGATCGAGCACTTTGTGGACCCAAACGAGAAGGTCCACCCTAAATTCCCGAATGTAGCCGACCTGGACATCACGTTGTACTCCTCCAAGGCTCAGACCAGTGGCCAGTCTGCACACATCATGAGGCTGGGTGACGCTGTGGAGCAGGTTAGAACAACACGGACTGTCACACACCTTTTTTCGAGATTGTTATTATTTTTACAGTTTGAAGCTTCATTCATAAGTAATATGGACGTGTAACCAAGCGTGTATAATTATTAATTCATCTTCAAATACTGCAATCCAAGATGAAATATTCTCTTGTGTTATAATACATATTTCCCACCTGGGATATTGTAACATACGCTGTTATAAATGTGATCTACAAAAGTGGATTCAAGCAAAACCACAAACAATCTCAACTCTACTAATTATCGAATTCATTTCTTCTTCCCTCATTTCAAGGGAGTGATCAATAACTCCGTCCTGGGATATTTCATCGGGAGGATCTACCTCTACCTCACCAGAGTCGGTATCGCCAAAGACAAGCTGCGTTTCCGTCAGCACATGGACAACGAGATGGCTCACTACGCCTGCGACTGCTGGGACGCCGAAGCCAAAACCTCCTACGTAGGTTCCACCGCACCGGTTC